CCAACTGGTAACGCTCCACCTCCCGCACAAGCTCCGACTCCTTCCCCCCCAGAGAGGTGACGTTCCACGTCCCCAAAGCCAGCTTCTGTCGCCCGGGTCTGGTCCGTCGAGACCCTCTGCCTTCACTGCCACCCTTCTGGCAGCGCACCCGACCCCATCGCTGTTTCCCGTAGGTGGTGGGCCCGCGGGACGGAGAAGCGGAGGTGTTGCCCACGTCGCCTTTTCGCGCTGTGCCCGGCCGGGCTCCGTGGCAAGCCCGGCCACCAGACGCTCGCCGACGAGTCCTCCTTCTGGGCCTGGCTCCAGAAGGGGACCCCGGGCTTCCTCCGGGCCGGGTATCCTCACTTCGTGTGTCGTCTTTCATGAGGTCTTTTGAACCAATCTTAGTCTGACCCCTTGCCTGAGACCAATTTGCCATGGGAGACCCTACCAGGAACACAAGGTTCCAGACAACACAGCCCCCAGGTTCATCAGGGCACACAAACCTCTCTACCACGGTAAGGTGCTGGTTCTTCAGAGAGGTTTTTTACATCTATTCACGTGTAATTTCATCTTATACATTAATTACTGTGGTGATCATGTTGAAATAATAAAAGCAGGTATGTGTCAGTGTTTGTAAAGCACCCTCTACAGGTGGAGACTCTGACCCCCCCCTCCCCCGGATCTCCCTGCAGGTTCTCTGTCTGAGTGTTATGCGGTCTCTGCTGAGGTCTGCTGCCTGGAGGTAGCTCAACACAAGCGGCTGCTGCTCTGCGGGCTGACCACCGGCACGGTGCTCATCTACCCTCTGTCCCTGCCCCAGGAGACGCTCTGCATTCCCCCCCCAGAGAACCTCTCCAGGGTGCTCTGCATAGCCGTCAGCTCCCAGGAGAAGCATATGGCGGTGGCCTACGAGGATTCTGTGTGTTTGTTCGAGATCACCAACAGAGACAGTTTCCCCACGGTGGAGGGGCCCCTGAAGAGGGTCCCCCTGTCTCTGCTCCACGCCCCGCTGTCCTCCATGGCCCTGCTGCCCGACCGCAGGCTGCTGTACGGGACCAGCTGCGGGGAGGTAAAGCTCCACGACTTCAGCAGCGGCAGCAGCTCAGACCTGGAGCCCCACCGCAGCAGGGTGACATGTGTGACGGCCGGGCACTGGGGGACCCACGCCTTGGTGGGCTCCGAGGACGCTGTCCAGAGGCTTTGGGCCCTGAGCCCACTGGTGCTGGACCACACCATGGAGTACAAGGTCAGAACTACTGTGGTTGGACATCAAATCACATCACCATGCAATCTGCAACTTCGCTGTAGCGGCCAAAATCATAAAGAAAGGAAACTGCCGCTGAGTCACCAGTTAGTGAACCTCGCTCAGGGAATGATCCATGTGCAGACCAGAATATCCGTTTGTGCATTTATTTCCATTTACCAACATGAACAAAATACAATGAACAGGTGTTTTCCCTTTGCCTCTCCTATGGCATGCTTGTTTCACCCTGTGGTAAACAAACATATGCCTACTGGTGCTCTGCTCCCACCACCACCTGTCTCCAATATACAATCACACCAGGGGCCCAAATACACCTTCAAAATAAAAGCATAACACTACTTTAACTATCTTAAATAATAACCCTGAATAATAATACATTTACTATAAACAAAAACAGCAGCAGTTAGCAACTATTACATAATATAAATCAATATATAGCTCTAACACTCATCACTAGATGCCATAAGTCTCACACACTGCACCTAAAAACACAGTGCTATTACCGTAGGTCAGAATACTCTGTTAGGAAAAATATCTTCTATCAGACAATAATAAGCCAAAAATGTACACATTTGCATTTAACTTATGAAATAAGCCCATTCATCATTTGTACACAGTGCTATTAACATAATATTGTAAGCAGATATAAGGACATTTCTAAGTGTTTAATAATGTACAGTATTTGTCACGTTTATATAACTTCTCAAATAAAGACACAATATATGTTATATATTGTTGTCATTCATTATCTATACTAAAGCATGTTATGAATGCTTCCTAGAAGGAGTTAGAGTTTTTGAAAAATGTTTTCTTGATGTTCAGGGATTTTTCTTCGAGGGCGTCCTCTCTGCTGCTTTCTCCGACAGCGACCAGTTCGTCTTCACAGGATGTCAGGACAGAACAGTGAAAGTGTGGGACGTCGCTTCAGGTACACACTGATCCAACACATTCCTAAACTATTTCTGAAATACAGGATTGGAGTGTGTTCTAGGGGTGCAACAACTAATCGACTTAATCGATTAAAATCGATTACCAAATTAGTTGCCAACTAATTCAGTCGTCGATTCGTTGGTGACGTCATCACGTGTGTTTTACGCGCCGTTAAGCTCCAACGTTATCGGTCTTTTTATCGGTACTGGAGACGTTTAAAAAATATGTCATTTATTATTGCTACAAAAACATTATATTGCAGTCTTAGTGTCGCCAACTCGTTTCTAACATGCAAAAAGACTAACAAATGCTTCTATGATGTATTTTTGATCAGACGAGATCTCTCTCCCCCGTCTGTGTGGGAGGGGGCGGGGCAGTTTACACACATGCGGCTCCTTCTACATGCAGCAATACACGGCGGGGATGGCGGAGAGAAGCTCTCCAAGGTGTGGTTAAACTTTACCCGTCTCGATGTGGACAATGCTCGTTAACAAAAGTGCAATAAGAGTTTAGCATGTAAGGGCGGTAACACGAGCAATTTGTCTAAACATTTAGCAAAAGTGCACCACATCCAGACGGAGGAATGCACCGGGTTCGACTGTCTTTCTAGAAGCTCTGTAGCCCCATCCACGAGTAACGTTTCCACGTCAGGTGTCATATATGCTAGCAGCAACACACGGAGTTAACTCAATGATACAAACATGGGTTAATGATTAGAGGTAACTGAGTTATTTATTTTGTTAAAGTTTCAGCTATTCTGTTTACAGTTCTGTCATCAGATTATTTAATACCATTTGTTAAAACACTGTTTCTTTTGATGTGAAATATTATTTATTTAATTTAAATAAAAAGCAATGTTAATTTTGTTCAAAATGTGTTTAGTTAATTTAATAATATATGTATTTTTGAATCAAGTATTCATCTTTATTGTCTTCATTTTTAGTTTCCACATGCCTAAAA